CTAGCTTGGTTTGTACCAAAGACGGCATTTTTAAAGCACACGTTTTCTGTCGAGACAAGGTAACAAAATACCTTCAGTGAAGTTACGTACAAGACATAGCCAGAGGATCTCAAATTATGGCATGAAAGTACAATCCAGGTCCATACACATACCCATGTTTCACGCCTGTGTAAACTTTTGACGAAAAGTGTGTCTATAGGTGACCTTGTGCTAGATCCGAATGTATCATGCAGAGGCGACTGGCCTCGGAAATCCGACGTTTTGAACAGTGTCAACCCACTTCGTCCAGAAAACAACGAATATCTATCCCTGGCCCAAACCTATTATTTTACACGCTGCGTGCAGCGGAACTGTCTGCTAGAATCCTGAAAGAACTCCTCTAGATATGTACAGTATGAAGGTGACGACTCACCAAGCGCAACACCTTTCCATATTTTTAATACCCATTCGATCATGCGGAATTAGTGTAGACAACACAGAGACAATTTGACTGTGCATCTTACCTTGAATGCTTAGCATCTGACCGAGCTTGAGAGCGGCACCGCGCATACGACAGAGAGTATCCACGATACGTTCCAAATTAGCATCCGTAAGGAATGGGTTGTTGATCTCGCCAGCTAAAGTGGGTGAGTCTGTAAACATTCAACACAAATACAACCAATATACACATACCACCATAACCAATTTTCCTCTTTGTCCATTCGGTGGCTGCGCCAAGACCCAGTCCGACTGGCGACCACGCCAGGATGGTTACCGCACACAGAGTAGACCTGCCACAAAGATCCTGGCTCTTCATATGTGCATACAGGCCTCAGAGCTAGCACGTTGCTCACTCACACACAGTAGACGCAGCCCCGGATACATCAAACCCTGCACGCGCTCACCAGCTTAACGCACCACACCACTAGCACCGGCCGGTTCACGTAGGCCATGGTACACCGGGGACGGTGTTCTTCAAAAAGGAGGCCAGTGTAGTATACGGTGTTTGTCATTTTGATCGATTCATATGTAAGTATTGGTGATGTACAACCTTGCTTACTGGGCTTTGGCTGATGAGCTTTGTTTCTGTTTTCCATCCACAGAAATTGTCGTGAGCACCTGCCTTCGGAGAATCACTGTCCCCTGGTGCTTCCATAGCGTGCATATTACAGTGGGATCCGCGTGGATTCCTGCCTAACACCCGAGGATTATGGTTTCATAGGTTTAGCCGTTATTGTCTGCAAGCTCATGGAATGAGTTCTGAGGCTCGAGATACATCAGTATGTGACTAGCCGTGGGCTTATGATTCACAGGTTTTTCGGTGTTATTTTGTCTAAATGATCTGATGTTAATCGAAATGGTCACTAAAAAGCTGTACGAAGTTCAGAAGGTTGCGATACGCATCTGGATTTTTAGGAGCCCCTAGACTACATACAGGCGATTTCTAATAGCTCATTTAAGAGATTATGGCTCGTAGCCATATACTGAGGAGTTCTTCCATAAATGTAATTCCATAGTAGCTTGTGGAGTTTCACTGTCACAAAGTCCTGCAGCAGCTACTGAGGTGCGTACTGTGATGCTGTTGTTCTTACTGTATGTCGACAAGCTTTCCGCATGCCTGAGTAGTGGCGCCTTTTTTCGCGGACAACACTACAATTCTTTGAACTCAGCGGAACTGCGAGAACCTATGGGTCATCTGATCTGGATCAAACCTGCAGCCCGTCGCTGAACGTCTTCAAATTTGGCAGTTTATCCACTGCAATCAGGAAGACTGAGCTTTCAGTTTCTTCCATTTCAAGACAGCACCAAGGTATTTTGTGGAGTGGGGTTGGCACCACTATCATGAACTCGGTTGAAAACACTTTGGACGTTCTGAGTGGAACCGGTTGCAACGATGGCGTCCAACTCAGCGACAGCTTCACTTAAGCCGGTCAAAGTTGCATCGATAATTGTCCGGATTACGGTTGGTGCTAGGTATTTCTTTAATTGCCCCGCTTATTGCATTAATCTACAAATACTATTTGGAGGTGAGTTTTGCAAAGCACATCTCGCCGTCGTATTTTGCAACTAAATCTGCGCAGATAATGATTACTAGTGTTAGCCAGCCACAACATATTTAGCGCACACTTGAATTTTACCATTTGTCCTTTTGACGGTAACAGTTGGACCTACCCGTACTGAATAGTGGGCGGGCCGGATACCGTTGGCTTATGAGTATTTTAATTCAGCCTCTAGAGCGCTTTGATCTGGAAGCCGGTGTGATATCGGAGTCAATGTGAGACTGGACTTCAGTTGAGTGCAACTGCACTGAAATGACGTCGCGAACGGCTGAACGCTAGAACACAACCACTCCCAACGAACTCAACCCCTGGGGGGACACGTGGACTTGAATGGAACATCAACTCCGTCGATAACACGAGGACCGCTTGAAATCCCATTTCCCAGGCGCCCCAGGGCACCTGATTCAAACAGATTCCATACTGTGCTCTTCATACGAGGCGGAGGACCTGATAATCCCAATCAAAAATATCTGGAGTGAAGGGAGAATGCTCACAAGTTGGAGCACTTCGACTGCACTTACAGTTACCACGATTACAGTATTCAAAAAGCGTTAGAACACCGTGCGCCATCCATTGGCACATCAGTCCAGTGACCATAACTTTTGAGGTGCTCTCTGCTACTGTTCTCAGTTGGTTGACTCATCCTCGCAGGAGTCATATTCGCGATAAGCACACTGGGTTTCGCTGTGTATCCATCCTCGATCTTCACTTTTCTGCAAGCGTTCGAACTGCTCCATTCCTTCTGATGACCAGTACTAACAATTTTCTTGATATGGAAGTTTCTCTTGATTCCGTTGATTGTCGGAAGCTGTCAGTGACTGGCTTTAAAAGGCGTCGTTTCTAAATCTCTGTCTCTTCAAAGCTGGACAGACACTGGCTGAGGAATCCACTGCCATCCTTGAACAGAGTAGGTGGATTATCTTCAGGATCAGCAGCACGATGACGCTTGCATATATTATATACATTCGGACACCTTGGAAATGTGATGAAGCTCCATTGTCACAGTTCATCTTTCTGCTGAAGGCCAGGATTCCGGGTCGGAGATAGCCAATGGCCAACTGAATTGCTGTTTTCTATAGAGGAGAATGTCGGTAGCTCAGGTAGCGTAAATGTTCGTTGGCTTGTTCGCTGAGCTGGGCAATTTGGTTGCAAACGTTTCACCACCAATCGAGGTGACATCATCAGCGCGTCATCATCATCATCGACAGCATGACATGTGTTCAACACCGTTGCTTCACTGCCGTACAACCTTGACTTATTTGAAAGCCTTATTGTAAAGAGAAGAATAAAGGTGAACGGGGAAGGGACTTAGTGCTAGCTTAACACAATCATTCCGAGGTGCCTACACCTCCAGACATTCATTCACGCAATCTGGACAGAAACTGACAAGAACGCCACTGACATCGGTTGGCAGCTATATCTTGTAGTGTCTCCAAACAGGCACAGTAAGGATCACGCAGTCCCCATCCTGGAAGGCGAGTAGCACCGACAGCACCCAAGCGTTTCGTGATCTCCTTCATACTCCTCTGCCAAGTCAAGGNNCGAAAACATGCTTTCTAACTGCCTCGTTACGGATTCGCCGACACCAACCCACGCGAGCTATGGTTCTGAGACAACGATTGTCGAACACCTGAAGACGTCTCAGGTCCGCTGCTCGAATAGGCCAAGTCTCACAGCCATACAACAAAACAGCCCGTACTGTAGCTTGATACACACGTCCCTTCAGATTCAGGGATAAACCATTCTGATGCCATAGGTATCTCAAGTTAGCAAACGCGGCCCGAGCCTTGGAGATTCGTGCATTCACTACAATCAGAACTAATACAACTTCCAAGATACGTAAAACGCTCCACAACTTCCAGTATCTCTCCCTGGATTGTAAGGGGCGTGTTCAGTGACTGCACGTCCACAAGCATGGCCTTACAGTTTGTGGGTGCAAAGTGCATACCAAAGGACGGGTGCTGCCTCGTAACAACCCATCAAAATATGCATCTCGTTTCCAGGAGAGTAACCGAACATGAGCGCCATGCATAAAGCGCACGTGATGGTGGGCAACTTCCAAGTATGTAGGATTGAATGTCTGATAATTGGAACGTTGATGGCCAAGGTAAACTTGCAGAAAGGGTTGATATAATGGAAGGTGCTGTATTCCCCCGTGCTGTATCGACATCGAATGTTGAAAATGGTGCATGACCACGTCGTTCGTGACCATATTAACGGTGTGCTTTGGTTTTGGAGCCAATTGTAGGTTGAAATCAAAGTGTTTGTCCGGGTGTGCCTGCAGTGCGAAGAGCACTCGGAAAAATCAGAAAATCAACCACTGACGCAGTCAGCCACAATTGACCTCCTGGAATAAGTTTGGGAATAAATCTAGTCCGTCTGTTACCAGCTGGTAGCGTGAGGAACACCACATCGTGATAGTTGCAGGCCATTTTGCTTGGCGAATCAAAGGATCTCGACACGTCTGAAGCATTGAAGATATCGTTCGGTTTAAAATACCAGAAAAGGGGCAGCCTACCAGGATCTCCAAAATATATAATATTTAGAGAAATACACTGAATGGACCGCTTCCATATCATCATCGTATCAATAAAATGCCGTGGAGGCTTCAACCACTTACAGATGAATAGTATCAGCGGTCATGCTGCAGTTTGGGAACGGAATATACAGGAGGAAGCTTTTCAATTATCTTATGGCAAAAAGAAACACTCAAAGGCAAGCTCCTTGCTCTGGCCCGTGGTTTTGAAGCGAAAACAATGCTTGACGTTTGGGTAGAAAATGGAACCACCTAACAGTTTTTAAGACCAGAATAAGGTAGCTAGGGATCTAAGCTCGAGCAAGCTCACAGAAACTACATCGGCATCAGTTGCACCAACTGATTTCGAGGGTATTCGAGCTACCACAGTTCGTTATCCTTCAGCCTTTAGAGAAATAACAAAACCAGTCATATGTATTGCTTCATGGCTCTTCCATTTTCTTCCAGCCCAAAGACCATTATCCATTCGCACTACACATCTCCTGGTCATCCTCCACGATCTTAAGAATACTTAAATATGGGTGAGCTCTGTTGTTGCAAATTTATTTCCACGTTGTATAGGCGCAATTTACAGCTTCATTTCACGTCTTTTTGGTTCGAGAGAAAGGCGGATATTGATTTTAGGTCTTGACGGGGCGGGAAAAACGACAATTCTCTACAGACTTCAAGTTGGAGAAGTTGTTACAACCATTCCCAGTACGTCTCTGCTTGCGAAGATGAATACACTGATGGTATATCTTTTGTTTAAACTCTATTTAATTTTTATCATCAGCATTGAAACCGTTTTTGCCGTGGATTGTGTAAACGTTTTCTTTTTGTGGAAAGATTTCAGTTAATTGATGCGTTATTTTTCAAACGGAACACAGTAATTTTAGTTTTACTGGTTGTTTCGTACTACGCATCAGCTAAGTTGACAAACTCAGGCCTGTCGGGTTCCATTATGCACAGTTCGCAACACTTGCCTAACTTGGCCAAACTGTGCGTGAAGATATATGAAGATATGTTTATGGGCACCCGCTCACTGCTTTGTCGCTTACAGTTACTCACATCTTTTAGCTGAGCGGCATTTTACAACTCTTCTGAGGTCATTTGTGCTGAACCTCGTCGAATCTTCCGGATATCATTTATGGTAGTCGATTCTAGTGAGACCACACTCTTGGGAGGTGCCTCCAGGGTGTTTTTGAGGGGGACAACTGTGTTTCATTGTAACTTTAGGTAAGGTGGGCAGCAGAGTTTTGAAAAATCCAACTTGTTTCGCAATCTTTTTCCTGACAATAATCCCTTACCTCACGTGATGCTTCGCAGTAGTACCTCAGATAACAGCTTATATCCGTCGCGATAATTGCTTGCCCTTTCCGATGTGGTGCATGGGAATATTTGTTCTGTTCTACAACTGGCGCGGTGCTGCCATCAGTTCCGCCAACCACCCCGTCCGTGTCATATCCCTTATAAAGTGCAGTATTGGCAATACTACGGCGTGGATTTTGAATAAATGCTCCCAACTGCTCTGACCATTCGTTTGATAGTACAAAATACAAACGGACAGAGATATGCGGATCTTGAAACTTGCTGCACGGGGACACATCTATGAATTAGAAAACATAGCTGGTTGACCTTCACCTTGTTGAATATCCTTAAGGGGCAGAGAAATTCGTTCATCCCTCGGTGGCAATGGAAAAGACAAATCCGCTCACCTACATTGTTCTCTAAAAAGACACGTAGACCGTGCATCCTCTTGTAGGGTGATCGTTTGCTTGATTTGGCTGCGCTGCTGAGGGCCTTTTGCGACCCTATCATGCCAGGCAAGCTGCGCCTTGAAATTTCGGTTTACGAAGCATAACGTAGCATGTCTATTGTGTTTTTGACGGATCATTTCAACCCTCCTTATCGTGCACTTTCTAGTCGCACCGTCTAACTCCACTTTACTGTGTAAGGTGATATCGTAGCTAGATACGAAAGCGATATGGTGCAAGCCAGCAGCGACTAACCAAAGGTCATTGGGTACACTTGCCCTATATATATATATATATATATATATATATATATATATATATTTGTGTTACACTATGGATGGCGGATGGTGCTCAAACTCTACTGTCGACAAATATATATATATATATATATATATATATACTGGTGAGTCTGTGGTTACGCATGTTCAGTAAGCGAGTGCTCACGAAAGAGGGGGAAACAGATAAACTGGCAAGCTCTTTTAGTGCAATTCAGCCAAGGTAACCAGCTGTCTGAGCTCATCTTATGTCACTGCCCGAAGGACCAATGGTCGCGCTCGACAAAGCAGATCGATAAATTTTGCTCCTGATTGTATCTGTTAGGTATCTTGCTACGCAATGATGCAAACTCAAGAAGTGAGGTTAGGCCGCTGTCTTGGAAATTGCGCAGTTACGTCGAATTGAATGGTCGGTTGGGGTGTGTGATGACATGCTTTTTTGTTTTTCATTGGATTAATCGATCGGATGGATGTCCAAACCTTGACAAGAATGTGCAACTCAGTTTGTTTGCATAATACTGATGAATGGTGTGTGTGTTTACTTGGGGGAATAGTCTACATTATGACATGTCTCAGAACTTTATCGATATAAGGACGCACCGAGTTGCCAATCCGATTTCTATCAGTTTGTTACCAGACGTCAATAAGTAATGTGTCTTATATGTGTGCGGACAGTTCAAAGACAAGTAACATGCTTGTTTGGTAATTTTAACCTTTCTGTGGCGACTGGTGGGTCCAGACCAGGACAGCGGCGTGGTCATCAGACATAAAATTGCCGGTTTTTCTTAAAAACTAGTATCACAACCGGAGAGATTTTTACCACTGAAGAATAAAATGGGGTTGATTTATGCAGTAGGGCTCGCCAAAATGCTGAAGGCTGTTGCTTCAACTATGATCAATGCGATACCCAGATTCGTTTCATTGTTGAATCCGATTCAGCTATTCGAGATAACTTATCAGTTCTGTTTCATCAAATATTCCATGTGCATTGACCTCATTTTTACGTGAACAACTCGTGATTTTATGTTTCGTTGCGGAGCGCGTTTGGTAGGTGGATTTTCGAGAATGAACGTTAATATATTGACCTTGTACTATTATACGTCTCCTGTGGGGAGAGTTATTCCCGGTCTTCTGTCTGTGAATGAAAAGCATATGCAGGTATTCATCCGCGAGTTGTAACGTAAACTTCTGTGATGAGCACAGTACCCACTCATGGTTCTCGGGAGATACGTTCCGGCGCGTCCTTCCGCGAAACGAAATCTGCGACCAACAGATGAAGAAAGGGCTTTCGACAATACATAACCAGGCGAATCTGGTGAGGAAATTAGTGAAAGTGTCAAATTTATTGTATACGGAAGCAACACACGAGTCATCACCTGTTAGTGAGGACTCGGGACTTGAAGACGATGAAGGTGTGCCGTACAGTGAGGTTGAGAGAGACTGCGTCTATCAGTACTGGACAGTGGGTCAGTTTATGCAGCTCTTCGGGAGAAAACCTCACCATGCGCCTGAGGTGCTTCAAGATTCGTATCTTCTGATAGGGTTTGCGTCCGGATTCCTTCCCAGAGGTTGCAAAATCACGTGTTACAGTGCTGAAGAGGATTTTGTATGTTTGCACCGTATCGTCATCACGTTCTTAAACTGAAACGACCAAACCCTATAGGGATCCCATGCTTAGGTTGTACCTTGCAGTTCTGTTATGTTAGGGGTTGTTGTGAATCGGTTGGGTACGCCCCCTAACTAGTAGGGAATCATATTCAGTAGACAGTATTGGCTCTGTTGAGTTGACTGGATACGGTTTGAAATTCTCTGAAGACTAAATAACCCAGTCATGAAGGTGATCGTGAATTTCATAAGGACCTCCTGACAATCGGGGGCACCTCCCTCGGAGACTGGGAATTTGGCTGGGAAAACGTGCGCGTATTTTGGAGATCTACCGTTATTTCGTGGGTTCAGACGTGCCTGTTCCGTCTCCAGGGCTGCTTGTATACCGGCAATCTCTGCTGTCGTTCTCTAATTTTGACGATCTGAATAGGATGTTGCTTCAAATTAGCAAGTTCCTGGCTTTAGCTGCTAATTCTTTCTGTGTTGAGTAACTTCACTGCTTAGTGCTGATTGAATTCGTCCATCTCGACTGCTGTCCGCATTTTGTTTAGGAGGAGTTTTACAACCGGCACCTTTATCAGAGTGGCTGATTCGAGTCACCAGTTTTCTCGAACCATTGGTCCATCAAGTTAGGGACTTCTTACTGATGTTTCGAGTCACTTCACTTGCATCACCTGCTTATGGGGGCGAGATGGCTCAAGTGGTTAGAGCGCGAATTTACTGACCGGAAGGTCCGTGGTTCGAACCCGACCTCTGCCACTCGACTTCCCCTGTCTAGGCTTGGGCGACCTGGCAGTATCCCAGCCCTCGTGCTTCCTCCGGGTGGCATGGCAGCTAGGCACCGGAAGGGTGTTACAGCTGAACAGTTATTAGTTATTTTTAGTTATCACCTGCTTATACTGTTGTACTCTTATAAGAGTCCGAGTTTCGTCACATCTTTTGATTCCGATATACATGAACTCTTGTGGATGAGATATCTCTTATCATTTTTGAACTGGGCTGTTGTGGGTACCTGTAGTTCTAGTCTTGTACTTATCCTCTGTTCTTCTCTTAGTGATCTATCTTGTGAATGGACAACTCAATGAGACGATCAACCAATCTGAATGATTTCGGAGTAGTGTTTGGTCATGCACTTTTGATTTTTGTTATGGCATGCACAATCGTCCAGTTTGTAGCGCGCTGATGTCTCATTATTAAACGGCACATCTTGTTAATGTTTTTCGTCGTACGGCAATAGTTCTCACTCTTCCTTTGTGCCTTTGCAGCCATTGGATTCAATGTCGAAACAGTTGTCTACAAAAATCTGAAGTTTCAAGTTTGGGATCTGGGAGGTCAGACAAGTATTCGACCTTACTGGCGGTGCTACTATTCCAACACGGACGCTATAATCTACGTGGTTGATAGTATGGATCGTGATCGTGTCGGCATATCGAAGCAGGAACTGGTTTCTATGCTTGAGGTGAGTTAATAATGTATACGAGATCAACTCATTGTCAGTATGTCTTAGCTATCCCAGTATTCTAGTTTAGCTTTTCTTGGCCATTTCCTTCGTCATCCAGCTGTGCCAACTGACTGAGAGTAACATTAAGTATTATCGCACACTATGTAACCAGTCTTTGTGGTGGTTTGACTGATGGAGCTATGACATGGTTTGGATTTTTGACTGGATAGTCTTTCCACGCGTGGGTGACGAGATCATACAGGGGTTTATTTCTAAACAGTTCTGTCTGCCGACAGCTCATGTTGTAGGAGAAACACTAGGCGAGCGCCCATGACCAGCAATATTAATTGTCAGCTAACTTCTTGTCGGCCACTCTACGGACACACGCTTAGGAACTCCCAGTTCTCTCACATGAATGTTTTCTTACTTGGGCAACGGTTATGAGTCCTAGTAGCTTCGAATAACAGTCCTATTAATGACATGCCAACCAGGGTTTGCGATCCAGATAGCATCGTGGATTCAGGCAACTTACTGCCTGTTTACCATGATTCTCAGTACATCACACGAGGCCAACTGAAGAGAAGAGGTTCCCCCACCATGTTCTTTTTGCGCCTACTCGACTGAGTTTGTTGCGTTCAGTCTACACTCGCATCTTTTGACAGGAATATTGTGTCCCGAGGAGGCTACTGGCGCAAAACTGTGACAATACCACATGGGTGATTTATTTAGGTTTATATCGATTACTGTAGCCTAATCAAGGACTAGTTGGAACCCGATGACGTATAGATTTGGAAGCAGATCTACGTAAACTAGTAGCCTACAACTGTGCGTCATGTCAGCTACTTGACATCTATTCCGGAAGAGGAATTATTGTGCTCAGCTGAGGAAGATCTTGAGAAAGCACTACCACTCCTGCTGTTCAACATCAATAGCGGTCTAGAGTACCGTTACTTCACCGTTTTACAACCTAGCTAAGTCCTTTTAAGCGGAAGATGGATTTAAGTGCTCGCTTTCATAGAAGAGTTATACTAATCCTTGAAGCCGAAGTGGCTGGGGGTGAACTTCTCTATTAGTCGTGAGGTGGCTTTTCTATGGTCAGCCTCTTTCATGGCTTCAGAGTAAAATTATCGACTGTGAACTTCTAACAGGAAGTGCTTTCAGTAAGCTCCGAACATTGAGGAAACATGGGATTTCAAACACCGAAAGTATCCATTTAAAAAGTGACAAATAAGTGTATTTTCAATAGTCGGTGCTGTACTAATTTATGCGTATTTACAAAGTAAACCGAAACCAAGATGTGACAGAATGGGGAAAATACTGATTTACAAGAAATATCACTAAACTTTGTACCTAACATTCGTTGTTAGTTTAGAATGGACACCAGCATTTGTCAGCTGACGCTGCCGTGAGCAAGCATAACTGAATGAGGAGCCATACGCTTATTAGACTTATTTTGTCATAACCATCCTCAACACTTTGTTTATCTTCGAAGCGTTGCGCACGTATCGTGGACACATCAAATGAGCTGAAATGCTGAATTGCGACGAATGGTTTATGGCAACAAATAGGCCACTTGTCCAATTGATGAGTTGATTTAGCTACATCACTTCAATTCAGTTTATCAGCTACAAACCATGTACCAAGGGTATGTCGGTTCTAGCTGCTGCAGTTTCGGATGTCGGAAAATTAGAGAGCAGGGGTGATATAGCGAAGCATAGGAGGTGATAGCATAATCAGTTCGGGAAAGTGGGCAGGGCGATAGCTTAGATACATGAGCGTCACCGCCCGTGTGATTGAGCCATGTCTATCAGTGTCATTGACCCTTAATGAGTTGAATCCCAGGTCCCCCATTCAGGGAGGCGGAAGTTGCTGATCCGACTGAATATACTGGTTTGTGCTTCCATACTTCCTTGCCATGCCCGTAGGCTGTCTACCAGCACACGGCTGGGTGAAAAGAATTCTATGATGCAGGCGGTCCTCTGGCATGCGGAGTATGTGTTCTAACCAGCGTAGCCTATGAAGCGTGAGTAATTCATCCATCGTGGGGGGGGGGGTTCCTTTTTTCGGAAACCACTCGGTGAATCTCAGCATTGCTGATTAGCTGTTGCCATCAGACGGCCAATGCTTCGGAGTCACCGATGGTCAAACACCGTACGTCCTCTGCACATAGCGGCCATGTTTTTGATCCACCGTACCACTGCAGTGTGTACTCTGCCCTGACGTCACGCCGGTGCCACAGATGTTGGAGGTTAACGAAAGCTGCGCCGGTCTTCTCGATTCGAGAAGTGATCTCGTCTCCAATAGGTCCACTGGAACTTATACAACTACCCAGGTAAACAAATTTGTCGATTGGCTCGTCAACTGCGACAGTTGCGCTAATACGGTCGTGTGCCCCTTACACCGGGTGATCGATTTTCCCCCCGTGCCATGAGGCATGTTCCGGCTCTCAGATAACACAGTGGACAACGCATGACCTGGAGTCATCATCATCATCATTGTCAGCTGTAATGTTCCGGCAGATAACACAGTGGACAACGCATGACCTGGAGTCATCATCATCATCATTGTCAGCTGTAATAACCGCGTACTCGTCGTACGTACATTGTAGCTGCCGCAGTTTCGTTCATCGATGTTTTGGGGGGCTGTCAAGTGGGGGGGGGGTTGGAAAAGGAGCTATCCATTGAAGGCAATAGCTTGGATGCACGAGCGCCATTGAGGG